GATGACAATCCGTTGCAACAAGTATTCGAAGCGTATTTGCAACATCATCCCTGGGAAGCCCATTTCAATGTAATCACAAAAAAAAAAAAAATTCCAAAATAAATGTAAAAAATTCACAGCTAACAAGAATTGCTAACGGTACAGTGTAATGAGATTGGAAAAAAAATATTAAATCAAAATTTTTAGCCAATCTAGGCCTCTTTGGTTTAAAATTTCTTCTTTTTTAAATGCGATTAATTTATTTTTCTCTCTAACTTGAAATCAGATATTAAATATTAAATTAAAAAATAAACACAGGGAGAGAGAGAGAGGGAGGGAGATTCACCTTGACAAGTCTCCCATGGTCCTTCCTCTTCAAAAACCTAAAAACACAAAGAGCAAATAAAAACAACAGTAATGTAAATTTAAAAATAAAAAAATACCTAAGATCCTAGGTAGAAACTCAAAATCACTTAAATTTATCAAAAAAAAGTTCCACAAATCAGGACTTCTGAATATATAATAGCAAGTAAATACAAACACAAATGAAAGAGCTAAAAAGCAAGGAAGCACACGCTGTTTGGTTGCCGAGAAAAGAAAAACATTACAGGGAGACATTTTTTCACCGTTTGATTTTGGGATTGAAAGGAGTAGAAAGGGTTTTGCGGTGGCGGGGAATTTCAAAGAAGAAAGGAAGACACTCAGAAATGGGCAGAAAATAGTCCCCCATTTTTCTCTCTCCCTTTCTTATTTTTTTTATTTTTACTGGGTTGCTATTTAATTTAATTTTTAGATAATTATTTTTTCTAATAAAAAATATTGCCACATTATTAACATAATTTTTAATAAAAAAATTTATTTAGTTACAAATTTAAAATGGGACATATTAGATATTTTTTAAATATTAATATAAAAACATATTTGAGAACTTTTTAAAAAAAAATATTGATATAACAACACGTTAGATTAATCCGATTTAAATTATTAAATTTATAATTTAAATTATAAAATTATGATAGATTTATAAAAAAATAAATTATAAAGATTAATTTTTAATTAGTTTAATATTAAATAATAAAATTTAAAAAAAAACTATTTTAGTTAGTTTGGGTTAATTTGTCAAATCCTTAACATGCATTATGAGATTAGGATAAACTCATAAAAAATATTAAAAAAAATTAGAAAATTTAATTTTCAACTAAATTAATATTAAAAAATAAAAAAAAAACAATTAAAAATAAAGTCTATCTAGGCTACCTTGTTATAATTATCACATGTGCTATGAGATTGTGATAACTTCATTCAAGACAAATAAAAAGAAGTTATGAAATTTTATTTCCAATAAATTTAATGTAAAGATTAAAGTTGAGAAAAAAATTATAAAATGAAGATAACTTTATGAAAAATAATAAATTGAATAAAATTACAAAGCTCAATTCTTAAACAATTTTATATTAAAAAATAAAATAAAAATAATTAAAAAAAGAGATTGGGTTGTTGTAAAGTGAAATTGGAAAAAAAAAGATTTAGTTAAAAAATGATAAAAAAAAATAAATAAATTGAGTGAGTCAATGTTAATTTGTCAAACACATGATCCAATCATGATATCATAATAACTCCATGAAAAAAAATAAAAAAAAATACAAGTAACAATAAAAAAATATTCATGTTAAAAAAGAAATCCAAAAAAATTGAATACACAACCTAGTTATGATATCAGAATAATTTCATGAAAATATTTTTTCAAAAATATAAATAACAATTAAAAAATATTCAAGTTAAGAAAAAAATCCAAAAATATTTAATATAGTCAACTTATCAAATTCATGACTAAGTAATGAAATCAATATAATTTTATAAAAAAATTTAAAATTTTATGAAACTCAATTTTGAACTATTTTAATATTAAATAATAAAATAAAAATTCAATTAGATAAAAAATGAGATTAGTCAACTTATAATGTAAGTTATGAGATTGAGATAAATTCATAAAAAAAAATATGAAATTAAAATTAAAATTAAAATTAAAAAAATAAATATATCAAATCATTATATGACTTAATATAAAGGAAATAAAAAAAATATGAAGAATAATTTTTAAAACAATTTAATATAGAATAATAAAATTAAATAAATAAATAAGGTTGTTGAAGAATTAAATTAAAAAAACAAAATAATATTCTAATAAATAATATTTTGCAGGTGTGAGTACAGAAATAAAGCTACATCTTCTAATATTTTATTAATACTATTCATTCCCAAATTTTTTATATTGACAACAATGTCCTGGAATTCATTTTTGGAAATGAGTGGAATATTTGGGCTGTTTTCTCACTTCAACTGTATTATATTTTTAGTGCCTTTAATTACATGTTATCGATTTAGGGTATATTTGTTAATGTAATTCAACCTCGTCTTCACAGAACTTTTTAAATTATTTTTTATGAAAAAATATTAAATTGATTTTTAGGTGTTTTTTATGGTTTTGATGTCGTAATATAAAAAAATTAAAAAACAATATTTTAATATATTTGTAATTAAAAAACTTTTAAAAAATACCTTATACTGGATTACTAAATACATACTTAGATAATAAGAAATGAAAAGCAAATTATTAACTAGGAGTTTTCACTAATTAATCTATAGTTTATGCATAATTTTGAATTTTTCTAACATTATGGAGTCATATCTCAATAAATATCTCCTCGTTTAGAAAAATAGTGGCATTTTTATAGAAGGGGAGAGACGTTATAAACTTATAATTTGCATAATTTAAATAAAATCATAAGCTTCTTATTGATGATGCTAAGAATTCACTAAGTAGCTTGCAAGTTTTAGATATTCTTCCCCTATGTAAAAAAGTGTCTTTTAAAGACAAATATTATCAAGAGATTAATTAATAATACTTTTTTAAAATTACGTGTGAGTCTTGTAAATAAAGGAATGCGAAGAAAATGTTTAAATATGGGATATTATGTTGCCATTAATTCGAGTGAAAGCTTATTTGTGAATGTTGAAAGCAAAAGAAAAGGAAGCAAAGTTGCATGAAATTGAAATAGCAGTAAAAGATAGTTGTATGAAATTGGATACTAATATTCTAGAAATCAACCAAGAAAAAACATGAAGTCAAAGGAACTTAGGATTTCGAATTTAAACTTGGCATTAAATGAAAAAGGAAACCCAAAAATCCTATGGAAGTCTTGTCCCACGTGAATCTGATTGCATAAGGCTATTTTTGCTTATTAGTATTTACAAAAAAAAAAAATGGTAAAATAACACAACTTAAAAAAGAATTTGAGATACAATAATTCTTGGGATGATTGAAGAAAACAAATTTTCAAAAAGTATTCAAATGAGCTGGGACAAATTATATAATAAAAAGGGAAGAAATTATATAATAAAAAGGGAAGAAATGAAAGAGTAAAAAAGAAGAGATTAACCCTACAATTATAATACCACTACTATTATAAAAAAAGATTTTGAGGGATGATCTAATAACAAAAAAAATCATTAACAATAAATAAAATGGGTTATACTAATTGTTAAAAGCAAATAAGTTACCTTGTCATTTTTAACACAACTAGTATAACACATTTGATTCAATAATATCATTAAATTTATCCTTTTTAAGGTCTTTTTATATAACAAGTTTGATTCATTATTGATGATCTTTTTGGTATCTTTAATTTTTTTTCATGATTTTCAATTGTCATTTGTATTATCTTGTTATTTTTTTTTCTAACCATGTTATTTTGTTAATTTTTTTTAAATAAAGTGATTTTTTTATTATTATAATTTTCGTGAAAGCAATTTTATAGTACCAAAAAGGAATTGAGAGGCAAAGTTAGATAAAAATTCAAGATTCTCTTCGATGCATAAAAAGGGAATATCGTGTTTGCTCAGAACCTTTTGATGTCTAAAATGCACTGTGCCCATTCAATTCGCATACCCATTACTTGACATGCATGTAAATTATTATATTTATCTGAATAATATAACCTTTTTTTTTCTTTTCGAAGTAATTATAAATATTTTTAGAACAACCTGTCACATGTTCGAACTTCAAATGATATGTTTATATATATTGTCTTAAAAGTGTATTAATTTAATAATATTATAATAAATCCCTTCTATAAATAAAAAAAACATATACTTAATTAAAACACTAAGTCAGAAACATATTTATGGGTACGCAAATACTACAATTTTATTGCCTCTACCCATGTCTGATTTTTGGATTAATATTATGATTGCCTCTCAATTTGTATTTTTCTGAGACGTCTTCTTTTGTTCCAATTCGTCTTGTACAAAACGAAAACGAAAGACGTGGCAGAAGACTTGATTGCCGTTTTAGTCGAAGTACGATAAAAAAAACCCTTCAATTCATTTCTTTCTGAGACGTCTCGTTTTGTTCCACTACGTCTTGTGAGACGTTCTTTGACCCCCGTAGCCATTCTTTTGCTTGTAGCACCAAGCTTCCAAGAAAGCCCACCATATATGTATATATACATGGAGAGGCTTTGCACCATCTCATAGCCAGACGAGCTCCCTTCCCACCACCCCACCAACTGCAGAGACTGTATTAGCTCTATAGAGAGGGGTAAAAAAGGAAATGGCTGACAGCAATAGCCCAAATCTTGCTGTTGAAAAAGAAAGGTTAGTGTTTTCTTCTCCTTTTTTTCATTCAGTTTAATTTCCTTTTTCCTTTTACTGATCTTCACTAACTATAATTTTTCTTCTACTGTAATCCATTCCTGTTCAAGTCTCAATAACAAAACTAGCCTCCTTCCGTTGTCTATAAAGCTCATTGTTCTCACTTAGTGTTGATCCATCTTGTCTCTGTTTCCTTTGCTCAGAGTATAGGAAAAGAAGTCAAAATTTTCTCTTTAAAAGTTACATTTTGGGCATGTCATTGACTTTGCCACTTTGTCAAAGCCTACCCCATAGACAAGGTTTTAGTGCTCATGAATCATTGCCCCAAGGCCTCAACAGAGGACACACTAGTAACTACACAAAGCTTCTAAAAGTATATTATATCGAATATTTAATGGTAAAAAAACCAACTTTTACTGACCTCAAGCACCGTAGAAAAATATGATGTTGAATATTAGCATGTCTAAAACAATTTTATTTTGTTGTGATGGCAGCATCATTATTGTGCAACATGGGATCTTTGCCCTTCTCCTCAAGACCTCAAACAATTATATCCAAGTGAAGTATCAATCAGTTCAAGCGTCTCCCTGGGACACACACCATCTTATCATGTTCATTTTCCTCCTGGCTCTATTTACATATGCCACAGCATTGGTGGTTGAGGTTATGCTCCGAGCTTCTGAATCAATCTATCATACACATGCTGGCAATATCCGCCTCTTTGCTGGTGGCTTTGCTGCAATTTTGCTGGTAGCTATTCTTTATCCAATCTTGGGCTGCATCATTTCCTTGATGTGGGTCTGTTTATTTGTGAAAATAGCATACGAATCATTCCAGGAGTTGTACAGCATTTTATGCCAAACAGTTGTTGAGATACTCCACATGTTGAGCAGGCTAATTGGAAGTGTGAGATGCCTTGAAGAAGAGGAATCAAACCAGCCGCCCGCGTAGGTCCCTTTAAAAATCAAGGGCTGTGTAGAAATATATGTTTTTGTAACACATGTCATTGTATTTTGGAGATATGTATGTATTTTACTTGATTAGTGGGTCAGTAAATAACAGTTTTTACAAGAGATCTGTGTTAAAGAATCTACTTGTTCATGTTACCTGGAAATAGAAATATGAGAATTACTGCTCCTCGGTCAAAAGAGAACATGCTTCTCAATGCCTTAGCCATCACTAAGTAGATCATTGTTCAGAATTTAAGAAAATCAGCATACGTCTCTTCTGCTATCTATATATACAAGATATAGCAAGAACTTTCAAACCAGCAGGCACATCACAAAAGCAAATCAATTGCACACACAAACAAAATTACCTTCTTCTGCTCAGCTATGGAGCATATCTCTACGAAAGCCTGGACAGAATCATGCCTCCGTATTCGAGGGTATTTGCAACTTCATCCCTGGGAAACCCATTTCAATATAATCACAAAAACTCTAAAATAAATGTAAAAAATTCCCAGCTACCAAGACTTGCTAACAGTACAGTATAATGAAATTGGACAAAAAAATCATTTTTTTAGCCAATCTCAGCCTCTTTGGTTTCAAGTTTCATCTTTTTTGAAATGCGATTAATTTATTTTTCGTTCTAACTTGGAATCAGAAATTAAAATAAAAAATAAACAGAGAGAGAGAGAGATTCACCTTGACAAGTCTTCCTCTTCAAAAACCTAAAAACACAAAGAACAAATAAAAACAACAGTAATGTAAATTTAAATATTAAAAAAGTACCTAGAACCCTAGATAGAAACTCAAAATCACTTCAATTTATCAAAAAAAAAATTCCACAAATCACGACTTCTGAAGATATTAAGTAAATACAAACACGAATGAAAGAGCTAAAAAACAAGGAAGCACGCGCTGTTCGGTTGCCGAGAAAAGAAAAACATTACAGAGAGACTTTTTTTTACCATTTGATTTTGGGATTGGAAGGAGTAGAAAGGGTTTCGCGGTGGCGGTGAATTTCAAAGCAGAAAGGAAGACACTTGGAAAGGGGCAGAAAATAGCTACACACCTCTCTCTCTCTCTCTCTCTCGTTTTTTTTTTTTTAACCGGGTTGCTGTTTAGTTTAATTTTTGGATAATTGTTTAGATGAATTCTTTTTTTAGACAAATATTATTAACATGTTTTTTAATGAAAAAATTATTTAATTATAAACTTAAAATATGACATGTATTTAATATTTTTTTGATTATTAATATAAAAATATATTTGAAGAATTTTCATTTTAAATATTGCTATGATGATATATTAAATCAATTTGAATTAAATTATTAAATTTATAATCTGGATCATGAGACCGTGATAATTTTATAAAAAAATAAAAATAAATTATGAAGATAAATTCTTAATTAACTTAATATTAAAAGATAAAATTTAAAATATATATTAAATTTAAAATATAACAAAAAAAACTAAACTTAAATTGGGTTAACATGTCAAACCTTCAATCTGATTTATGAGATCAAGATAAACCCATAGAAAATAAATTGAGAAAAGTTATGAAGTTTAATTTTCAATCAAATCAATAATGAAGAATAAAATTAAAAAAAAAAAAACAAGTGTTGTTGAAACACCCTTGATCTTCGATTCCGACACATAGTATTGTTGAAAGAAATCTCGGTGAGATGATTATAATGACACATTGAAAGACCACCACAAGATGATTGAGTCAGCCTTATATGCTCCTTAAAAAAAAAAGTAGCCTACTTCCTAGTATTTGCATTTCAGGTGTCAAAGAAAAAAATAAAAATAAAGTCATTTTGTTTTGGTCAGTAATCTAAATGGACACTTTCACCTCTTTTTGGTTGAGGCCCATACAAGATGCCTTGGTTGGTCTAATATTCTAAAAAGGATGTTTTCACTTTGTTTGGATTACTATTTAAATGAATTACTTTAAATCCTTTTAGTCCATAATTCAAGCATAAATGCCTTTTTAAATTATAGCAACAACAAAGAAATTCAAATATGTCCTACAGTCTAGACACTGTTCAATGTTCAACCTATATCTTGAATTCTAGAAGTGCAAATGACCTCAATTTTTTTCTTGGAAAGCTGAGACAATTTTCTTGAATTTTTATGTGGAGATCTGGTTCAAATTCTGATATTATTAATGATGTTTTATTCAGACAAGAGAAAATAAGAATTGTCACCAAGTCAAGAGTTGATCACTCACTCATCAAATCAATATTTTTTAATTTTGGCCAATAAAAGGAGGTATTTTTCATACATTAGGCATTTTGGTTTCCAGATCAAGATTATGCTCTTGCTTTTTCTTTTTATATTTTTGTAATGCTTAAGTTTTGCTTTCATTAATATCTTATTTATGCCTTTTCTTTCCTTTTCTTTACTTAGTTAATTTTTGTTTTATTTATGTTCTTATCTTGTTTATTTATGTTTCTTTCTTTCATTATGTTTAGCTAAGTTTAGTATGTCAAGGTGAAAAAGTTACACTAATATAAGAATAAGTATAGTGTAAACTTAATATGGATTTTAATGTTTGATACTAATATATTTTGTATTTGTTATTTTGTTCACTTTTTAATACTTTGCTTGTTAAATGACTAATTTAGATTTATGTTGTATAATACTTAGTACAACAAATGCTTGACACTTTCATAGCACAAACCATATGGTATAATCGATACTTGTGCAATGAAAGGAACTTAATTTGTTATTAACATAAGTTATAATCATGAATACTTGACAACATTTATAAGTATTAGTATTATTCAAATAAGATAACTAATGCAATCATTTTAACAATTTATAATCTGATTGGAACTTTCTTTGTGTATGGTTTCTATTTAAGTAATAAAAGTTTATACTATATTTGTTTGAAATACTATTAGTTGATCCTTTAACTTTGACATTTGTTGTTATCATTGTTTAAACCTTATATTGATCTTTCATCTCAAAGTTCTTATTAACTTCCTTTTCTATTACCACCACCACCACCACTATTATTACTATTACTATTACTATTACTATTATTATTCTTCTTGTTGTTGTTATATTGCTGTTATTTATAATTTATATAATTAACCTCCCTATGGTTCGACACCGGTCTTACCGGGTTATTTATTACTTCAACAATCTTTCACTTAGGAGAAGACAACAATTTTTTGTTCATGTTACCCACCACCTCTATGTCTTGAACAACCACTGCCAACTTCTTCATCTTCGCCACAATCTTATCCTCAAACAACCTCAACAACTCAATTGACATCACAGTGCTGCCTTTATACCATAGCGAGCCACAAGCCAGACCTTTTAGCCGCCAACAACTCTTCTCCTGTGACAAGGCAAAACTTCTCCATCCTTTTCTTCTCTTCTTTTTCTTCACACTCCACCCTTGTGGCTATTACATGCATAATTCATTTTGTATGCATCGACTAAATTCATTAACATGCTCGTCAGGTTAGGCTAATGAATATAGGGGTTGTAGGCAGCACCCATTCCAACCCAGATGGTTGGGCTGGGTTTAGTCCAAACAAAAAACAATAATAAGAGAGAGAGAAAGAGAGAGAGAGGCTAGGTTTGTTGGGCTACCTATCGACCCAACCTGACCTGGTTGGGTCTGGTCTAGATGGTTAGGTCAGCCCAACCCGATATATTAATAATAATATAATAATATTTAAAAAATAATTTTTTTTAATTTTTTCAAAGGTCATTTTAAAATTATTTGTGAGTTGCATGCATGTTTTTTCAATAATTTTACATAATACCTGATTGTATATTTACATTGTAAGATACAAATTTGATATTAAAATATCCAGTGTCCTACAAAACTTCAACAAAATTAAAAAAACCAAGTTTTCATTTTAAAAAAAAATGTTTTGTTTTCGTGTATATGACCAAATTTTAAATTTTTTTTAAGCATATTTTTATATATAAAAAATGCATCTTTTTCTTGTTTTAAAATGTAAAAAATAAAATAAAATATTATAACCAGTTTATAATTATCAGTTAGGGTTTTGCCAAAATATCAAAAACCCTTCACCAATCATTTTGTTTACTTTATATTCTAAGTGGGTTTAGTTTCAGAATCTAATATTTAGGGGTATAAAACAACACAGTAAAATATATCTTTAGGTATTAAAGATACAAAGAAAATAAATGCAATGCTAAAATTTAGATTTTAGAATGGTTAGGATTTATCCTAATAAGATGAAGACTTTCTCATGCAAAGAGATCTACCTTGAATCTTAAATAAGACCAATGGATAAAAACATGACTTAAAATAACAATCAAACAACAATGCAGTTTACTTTAGCTAATGTGTATTGGGGGTAATGCATATTTTTCTTGTAGAATCAATCTTTTACTCAAACTCTTGTATACCATAAGTTTTTTAGAAACCATAGTATTAGGTGACGACTCCTGAACTTTATAATCATAACTTTATGATTATAGTCAAACCCTATTTTTAATACACACTCTTAAGAGACAGACTTGCCATCAACCTAACTTTGCACGCCCTGCGCGACACTCCACATAAAGCTTAACTTTATTAACCACTTTTGCCAAGTAATAACCATGAAGGACATGAAATTTTGGTTTTTTATACCAGGACTCATAGTTTTTACGGGGTTTATGACATGCTAATAATAAATAAATTTAACAATATTAAATGTTATCCATGCATCAATCATTCATTTTACTAAAGTATGATCACACTGTTCAACTGTTTCTTTGTTCTGCCATCAACTTTAGAGATACTTTTGAACATTATAAGTTGTTCTCGACATAAAATATGTTTTCCTTTTCATGTTTTTATAAAAAACTGCGATCTACTGTTGAATTTTTTTTTTTAATGTTTTCCAAAACTTGTGGTTAATTGTTTTCCTATCTTAGCATTTTTGGTGGTAACATCTTTTTACCATTAGCATCAATATTAGCATTTTCATTTTCATTATCATCATCATTTTTTAATTATCTAATTGTCGATTTTTTTATTCTTTATTTATTTTGCACTATATATATTAAAATCTGCTTGTATTTCTCTAACCCTTTTCTTCTTCTTAACATTCCTTTGAAGTTTCAAAAGCATTTGATGATGAACATCCATAAGACATTTGCGATATTGTTCCATTTCTCCTTTAATTCCAACTAAATATTACTTGAATCAATTAATTTCACCACTTGTAAAAACTTTATTATAAAATAAACATACTAATTTTATTTTCTTACGTCCCATATACATTTCAAGAGCTTCTCTACAACGACTCTTTGCCATATTTATTTTTCCTCTTATACCACTTGATATGAAAATTAAAAGATGAGATGATTGGGTTGTTCAAGGATCAAT